TATATGATTAAAATTGGGAATAAGGCATATTCACAATTAAATTAATATTTGAATAGAGAGAGGGAGAATGTTGTTACTAAGCTATTAAGGAGGACAATGAGAGCTGGAGAACAAGGGAGAATGGTGGGTTCTGCCCCCCCAGGTAGGAATTGACTGCCCTGCTGGGTGAGAGTGGGGGGGGGAGTGAAATTGGGGTGCTTGGGGTGGTGACAATGATTGGAGGCTACCCCAGCCAGCCTGGTGAGAGCAGCTGGTGTGGGGGGAGCACTGACTGTGGATTGTAGAGGAGTGGGGTCTCAGAATTACCCTGAGGCACTGAGACCTTAGGCTCAGTGCCTAAGTTTCTCTGTCTCCTCTGGGGTGGGTATTGATAAGTTGGGATCTCCTGTTTTGGGAGCTGGAGGGCATGGGTGACTTGGGGGAACTGGGGTCAGGTGGGAACATCATGGTGGTGACGTGGGAAGATATGGCAAGAGACTGGGGGCAGGCCACTTGCAGGGAAGGCTGTGTTCTAGCCCCCAGGACCTGGCCCCATTTCCTGGTCAGAGGACCTTCAGAGGCCCTGGTTTTCAGTGGCTACTGCTAAGCGCCAGGTTGGTCTGTAATAAGGTGTCTCTTATCTGTGATTTAATCACAGATGAGAAAGCTGACCTGGCATGTATTACCAAGACCTGGCTAGGTCCAGAGGAGGGTGGTGTCTCCCCTTTGGAAGTTCTGGGTTCTGGGTGTGGCATCAGCCAAGACTCCATGGCAGGAGTGGGGGTGTGGCAGTTGTAATCCGGGAGTCTCTTAAGGCTTTCAGGGGCCCTGCTCCACAAGTGGGCAGATTGAGACCCTGTTCCTCAAGTTGGGTTCTAGGGATCAGTTGGGACTGTTGCTTCTGTACCAGCCTCCCTGCGGCATAGCAACCTCCCTGCCTGAGCTCCTCAAATTAGTCTCGGGGATGAGTTAGGGTCCTGGGAGACTTCAATTTGCCTTCTCTGGGGCTGGAGTCTGAGGTGGCTCAGGAGTTCATAGCTACCATGAGAGCCATGGGGCCTATCCCAAGTCATCCAGGACCTGACACGGGACAGTGGTCATATCCCTGATCTAGTTTTCTTGTCGGAACAGTGGCAATGTGAACTTGGTGTCTCCTGTCATAGTCAGATCATGCCCTGGTGACCATGAGATTCTCTGGTCCCGCCCCCTGCTGCAGGGAGGCAGGACCTATTAGATTGGTCTGCCCATGCAACTGATGGGGGAGCTGGGAGTTATGCCTGCTGCATGGTCCAACTGAAATCTTAGCCATCGCGTGGCATGACAGGGCAGCTGAGGCATTGGATCGAATCGGGCCCATGCAACCTCTCTCTTCTCGTGGATCCCACCACTCCCCATTGTTTACAGAGGAGCTGAGAGAGGTGAAACAAGAGAAGAGACATCTAGAGTGCTGCTGGAGGACAACAAGGGATGAACTTGACCAAACACGGGTAAGAGCCATTATTAAGGCCTATCTTGTGGCAGCAAGGATGGCGAAGTGGCAATACTTCTCCACCCTTATTGCATTCACAGATAGCCAACCAGTGGCCTTATTTAAGGTGATCCAAATCCTCCTGTGGAAGGGGGACTCAGAGGTCTACCTACAAGGCCATGGAGAGGAATTCGCAGAGCATTTGTCAGACAAAATCGCTCGCATTTGTTCCTAATTGGATGCCAGCTTTGGTACAGGTCCAGGGGGGATGATTGGGGTACAGTCTTACCCAGTTATCTGGGAACAGTTTGATCCTGTTGGACCTGAGGAAGTGGACAGGGTCCTTATGCTGTGAGCTCAGCCACCTGTTCTTTAGAGCCATGCCCCTCCTGGCTAGGTAAGGCTGCCTGGAGGGTGTTGTGTGGTTGGATCCTAGCGGTGGCTAATTCTTCTGAGAGAGAGGGGGTTGTTCCATCCCCCTTTAAGGAGGCGCTGGTCTGCCCCTTTCTCAGGAAGCCATTGTTGGATCCTACCATGCTGGACAACTTTCATCCAGTATCGAACCTCCCTTTTTTAGGGAAGGTCCTGAAGAAGGTGGTTGTGCAGCAGCTTCAGCGAGGCCAGGATGAAGCAGATTATCCGAACCCCTTTCAGTTGGAATTCAGGCCTGGATGTGGGACAGAGACGGGATTGGTCATGCTTTTAGACAATCTCTGGTGGGAGTGGGACAGGAGTAGTGCATCTGTCCTTGCTCTTCTTGACTTCACAGCCGCCTTCAATACCGTTGATCATGATCTCCTTCTGGATCGGCTCTGAGGGCTGGGAATGGGTGGCACAGTGTTGTGTTGGTTCACTTCCTTTCTGCGGGGCCGGTATCAGTGGGTGTTAATTGGGAGCGGTCCCGCCCTCAACCCATATCATGTGGGGCTCCGCAGGTTTCGGTGCTCTCTCCACTCCTATTTAACACGAAGCTGCTGGGTGAGATTATCCATCACCAAGAGGCTGATGGTGCTCAGTTATCTATCTCCGGCCCTGGCAAACCAAGTGTTGCGACTGACGTCTTGTCCCGGTGTCTGGAGGCTGTAGGGGTTTGTTTCTTTGTTTTAAATAATTTTATTAAGAATTATAAATGAAAAGAATAAAAGCCGGTACAAAGTACAAAAAAATACAAACATAAAAATGCAAAAGAAAAAAAGGGGGGTGTGCAGAAAAGAAGAAAGAAAAGAGAAAAAGAAAAAAGTAACTTTCCCCTTCATCCCAGCAAGTAAAGACAATTTTAATTGCTTATCACTATCTCTAAATACAACATAATTTTTCTTCTCCCCATAGCTCATCTCATAAGCAAAAACCAAATCCAAATGCTTCATCAATCGTTCTTCATCAGCAAAAGTCCAGTAAAGGCAAGCAGATAGGGCTATTTTCCTCTTTTCGCCCTGATCAAACAAATCAAGAGAGTCCCAGAGATAGTTTGCTGATCTTCTGTGTCTCAAGGCAAAAATCTTTATATCCAGGAAGTAAAGTTTATTCTTTTGGTTGCCACTTGTAATAAAGTCCTTCAAAACCTTAACAGAGCTCTTTTGTATATCCAGTATGTATGTATGTGTGTGTGTCTGCATGTGTGTGTGTACACACACACAAATACATACACACACACAAATCACTATCTGTATTTCTCCTTTAGGGAATAAGTCATCCATCAGATCCATTTGTGTTACATTTAAGTTCTCCTTCCAAGTAATTTGATAGACATCCATTGCAATTTGTTTTTGTTCTATAACTTCATTACAACATGTTCTGTCCATCTTTTCAAGCAATTGATCCATTCTATTAAGAAGCTTAATAGAGATTCAGAAGTTTGCAATATAGGTTTCTGCTCCATAATCTTTATCTGCCCCATATCCTTTATCCTCTAGCTCCCTCTAGTGTCCAACCCTCAAGGTCTCCTTAATGTAAAAAAAAGCAAAAACAGTCTCCCTATCATAAAAAAATGAAAACAGTTGCCATTTTCTCATGAGAAAATAATCTTCTAATTTATTCAAAGCTATAATTCCAAATCTCTCTGGCTTCTTAATCCATTGTTAACTTTCCAAAATCCATATACTAAGCACCCTTTTGCTACATAGTCCAAAAAATCATAGATTTTCAAAACTTTTAAAATCAAATTTACACCATCATCCTCTAAGGAGCAGGAAACTCATGCAATGAATACAGTAAAACCTTGCCGGTTCGAAGAGTCTTAATCTCTCCAGTAAACAACAACAAAAAATTATAATCCAAGAAGGTGATTAAGAAATGAGGCTCGGTCAAGCTTAAGGTCTGTAAAAGGCTGCTTTGCAAGCATGAGCTTGATGAAATTCTGGCTTTGCAGTTTCCACAGTCTACTCATGAGGAGCAGTTATCCAGAGTCATGTGGAAAATCTCAACGATCTCTCCTTCTGGAGAAATTTTGCTAGTTTGGATTTTGCTGGTCTGGATCCAGCCACAATTTGTGCAAACGCTGTCCTGCTAGCTAGCAGGATGTGAGCTCACCACAGGAAGTCTTGAGGCTGTAGGGGTTTGGACGGGGAGCAACCAGGAAGGCTGAGTGGCTCTGGGTTTTTGGGCCTTCTGGTTCTGGGACTTTACCATCTTTGGTACTGGAAGAGGAGGCACTGCCCCAGACAGTTCTGGTGTACAATCTGGGGGTCCTTCTAAACCCACGACTCCTGCTCGAGGAGCAGGTAGCAGTCATGTCTAGGAGGGCCTTTGAACAGCTTCATGTTGTGCACCAGTTGCACCCCTTCCTGGATCGTGAGGCTCTACTCACAGTCACTCATGCCCTGGTCGCCTCCAGAATGGATTACTGTAATGCACTCTGTGTGGGGCTGCCTTTGAAGAACACCCAGAAGCTTCAGCTGATGCAGAATGCAGCTGTGCAGACAATTATGTGTGCCCCTAGGAGGATACATATTATACCTGTTCTGCAAGCTGCATTGGTTGCCAGTTTGCTTTCGGGTGCAGTTCAAGTTCTGGTTTCGATCTTTAGAGCCCTAGATGGCATGGGACCAGGTTATTTGAGGGACCACCTCTTTCTGATTACATCTACCCATCCTACCAGGTCAGGCAGGAGGGCATGCTGTGGGTCCTGTCCCCAAAGGAGCTCCTTCTGACAGGACCCAGACAGTGTGCCTTTTCTGCTGTGGCCCCCACCCTCTGGAACATCATTCCCCCTGAAGTGAGATTAGCTCCATCTCTGTTAGTCTTCTGGAAGGCCCTTAAAACATGGTTATTTCACCACTTGGGGATCCCAGGAACAGCCTGCAAGGTGGTTGTATGAGATTAAGTGATATCTGTTCTCCCACTTTCTTGGGTTTTATTTTATATGTTTATATATTTTATTTATTTTTTATTGTTTTTAGATTGTTATGGAGTTTTTAACTATTGTTGTGTTGTACACCACCCAGAGTCACTTGTTTGTGAGATGGGCAGCTATATAAATATGCTAAATAAATAAATAAAAATCCCATGAAGAAAAACAATCACAGAGCATAAAGCATTTTTAGGGTTTATTTAAATAAAAATTATAATTTATACCAAGACACCCCCCCCCTTTTTTTTTTTTAACAAAGAAAGTTCTCTTAAAAAATGTACAGGGCAAATTGTTTCAGTTCAGTTTTTCATACAGTACAACTCTCCTGTCTGAACAAAAGTTACACTGCTAATGCATTATTTACAACTTCAAAATATAGACTGAAATTTCAGACATAAAAAGTATTTCACATCCATTTTTTTAATGATTAGTAGCAGAAAAAAACATCTGCCAAAATGTACATAATTAGTTATAAACTACCAGATTTGCTTTTGCAGGTCAACAATATAACATTCCCAGATCTCTAGAGTATCCTCACTCGGTTTACACAGCACATCCATTGGCTTTGCAGGACTTTAGTGTTATGGTGCTACATAATTTACCTATAGTCAAATCCTGCAAAACTAATATGTTAATGTAATAGAATTTCTGATTCTGGCAGTTTAGGAAGGGAACATAAGATGTGATCAGTTTTCATTTCCCTTTATGCTGAGAAAAGGTTCTCCAACTTGACCACTATGTTTCTAGTAAAAGAGCTTATTCAACTAAATATTAAAAAATCACCATGAGTCACAGGAAAAACTAATATATGTATCAGCACAGCAAATTTATAAAATGTTTTTTAAAAATGCTACTTTAAGGTAACACTTTGTATTAGTAGCACTAGTGGAGCTACATCTCAGTAAGTAGATACTGAAAATCCCATGGAAAGAGATGAATTTAGATCAAACCTAAGAGTGGTTGCCTGAGTATAGAATAGACTGACAAATGTTCAACAGTTTAGGATAAAGGAAAAAGAAAAGCACTGAGATGGTCCAGCACATATTTTAGGGCATTATATCAAACACCCCATATCACAAAGCACAGAAGTTCACTAGTTCTTTGAATAGGAAAATGTACATGGCTGCAGCAAAGGGGAAAAATTAGATAGTTCACATTTTAATGCATATTTACCTAATTCAACTCCTCACATGCCTGATTAGATTGCACTTCAATGCTAAAATGTGTAATTTTGTAGACTTTTGATGATATTCGCTTGTAAAAAACATACATGTACAAACACACTAAAATGTGTATACTAAGGAAAAGGAGAGATGAAGAAAAATGTGCCCACAAATTGAGACATTTTTCTAATTTTGGTGGGAGAATTTATATATTCATGCAGAAATAGGCTGGGATAAAATTAAGGATTGAACATTGAGCTAAACGAAATATGATAGATTCACCTATTCCTACATACCTGCCTTTTCATTTACATGATACAGAAATTAATTATCTTTGCGCTGTAATTTGCAATACATGTTCTACTCTAACTTTTAAGGGATGCATTTACAAAAGTACAGCTTATTCTGAACAAACCTGTCTTAGTAAGATCACAGAAGAACAGGGAAAGTCATGACACATACTGTTTCATTCTGAAAATATAAGTACTAAAGGATTATTATTGTGGCATAACCATTACCTCACAAATAGATTTCAAGTGACCACCTTCTAGAATGGTGTTTCTCAACCTCATCAACTTTAAGATGTGTGGACTTCAACTCCCAGAATTCCCCAGCCTGGGGAATTCTGGAAGTTGGAGTCTACACATGTTAAAGTTGCCAAGGTTGAAAAACACTGTTCTAGAACAATTCTTCGGTTGACCAGAACAGGGAGAAAGTAAAAAATGCTGTTATCTGACTTTCACCAGAACCAGTAATTTCATAATCAGAGTGAAGGTTACAAAGTACACTTGAAAATGATACAAAAATAAGAAAAATAGTTTACTTTGTAAAAATATAATCTATCCTTTTCCCAAAAAGAAAAACCTCATGAATATCCAAGGGGCTTAAAAAAAGAAGGGGGGAAAAGATAATTCCGTGTACTATGATTCTGATTTAGGTTAGTAAAAATGTTAAGCTGATGTAATGTTTATTTTCCCATCAATACATTTACTTGCTGGAATTATGCCTGGCAAAATCCTTATTTGTTCAAAAGTTTATATAGCCTACTTGCTCAACATTTTATATAAAATCACAAAATGTTAATAAAGAAATGCATTACTAGAAAAGCCAAGAAGTTACTATCACTAACTTTTTTTTTCTGTTACATGGGAGATCTCAAACTGTGGGTCACAATCCCCCAGGGGGCCATAAGCAACCGCGAGAGATGTTGCAAATGTTTTGTGCATGCAAAGCAGGATCACTATCAGAACTTGCTCTCACTCTGCCTGGTTAAGCCAACAGCAAAATTAGAATTTATTTATTTTTAACAGTTGCTGCTATAAATGGCAAATGTTAATCCAAAATAAATGTGGAATAAAATATGAGAGTGACTGTCTCAAAAATGAAAGCCAGATTGCAAGGGTCGCGCAAAAGTAAACAACCTTATTTTTCCCATTAAAAATATGGTTTTAAGTTCGATTTTGTATGGTTTATTTCCAGTTAAAAGGTTTTATGTTATAAAGTTGCAACCTTCTCTCATGGTTTAATTTTATATGGATTACATTTTAATTATTAAAAATCAGTGATATATATATATATAAATATATATATATTTGCCCTATCCTAATACCACTGAAATCATGAGTTTTATTCATTGGGGGGAGTCACATAAATTCATTTAGCGTTTTGGGGGGTCAAAGTACAACAGAGTTTATACCCCTGTATTACCTTATAGAAAATTTATGAGCATTCTATTAAGCCTTTCAGATCCTGATTCTAGACCAGTAATTAACTTCAAGTGTGCTTTAATCCTTTTGGGAAGAGATCTCCTTTACACATTAATCAGTTTGCAAAACTTTTCCAGCATTTATTCCCCACAATTTTATTCACGCTTCCTTGACTTCTGATTTTTTCTCACTGCCTACAGAAGCCCATCTTCCTATGACATCTGTACATATGATGATTAAGATTCATTGAGCAACAGCAACATGTTACATGCAAATGCATGGAACAGAGCCAAACAACAGGATTTAAAGCCATGAATGAAAGGTTTGGGATAGACTGGTTCATAGCAGAGAAGAAGCTTCTTTAATTGTTTTCCTACTTGTCAGTTCCAATCACATTTGTAAACAACTGACCCTATGTACATAACAAAAGCAGGTGAGGGGTTCATTTCGAGTACAGAATAGATTCTAGGATCTACTGCTTCTCTATTAAGAACCATCCGATCTTCAAACTCTGACTGGTCTTTTGAAATAAAAGAATCCATTGTGCCCTCTTTACAAAACATTCAATTATCATGTGGAGTCCTAGCCATCTATTCAGTTTCTTTTCATGATTCAAGACTGTCACATGCAAAGTTCATTACTACAGAAAGAGGAGATAAAGCCCTCAAAAGGCTAAAATGACCAGCAACTGCAAATTAATGTTTGTGCAATACTAAATTTACCAAATAAGAACACCAAAGAAAGAGAATTATGGACATGTACAGAGGTAACAACAGGATCCAACATTGCACCACTCCTTTTTTACATGCATATGACATCTCAAAGTACTACAAAGGGTGCACAGCCTGTGGCACATTGATGCAATACTACTTTCATCATCCCTCCCATGGAAACATTTTTCATGATTTTAAAAGTTCTATATTGTCTATCCAATATTTTAAAGAAAAAAGGAAAACACAGGATAATGCAACATGCGAAATAATTCTTAAAAAGTTGCTTTTCTATTGAAAATGCTGGGAACATTTATTATGCCAACACAGTGACATAAGATAAATGACAAAGCAAGATGTATAAGGTAGACCAAAAAGAAATGAGCATACTAACTCTCAAAGGACTGAAGATTAATTGCATCTCCCAAATGTCTCTAAACTATAGATGTCTTTTGAAAAGATACAGAAGTCAGTATGAAAGTCTTCTGGAAGCACAGCTTCAAATACTCATACCTTCGATTATTATTATTTACATCTCATTTAGGAAAACTAAGACCCTTCACAATCATGTTCTTGACAGATTTTGCTGAGTTCAACTGCAAACATGCACCCATTCATATATACAGTAATGCCACTGAAATCAATGGAACTTGTGCAGTGGGAGTGTGCAGAACCCATAGCCAAAGAAGTATGGGGTGAACCATAGCGCTCTGGGATGTCTAGTTAAGACAAGACATTATCCTTGGCCTATCCTTCAAGCTAGTTTTGCTAAGAGTCTTCCTAAGCTTTTTAATGTCAGTGACCAAACATTAAAAGTGCTTAATGTGCAAGGCTAACAGTGCTGATAGCATTTTCACTGCTTTTTTCTTTTATTACAAAAAACAGTAAAAAAACAACAGAAACCATGGAAGGCATGTATAAAATACATGTATGTAACGTAAGACATACGCAACAAAGAAAATTATTGCAGGACTGATGAAGGATGTTCCACCTTTTTATTCACTACCGAGTGAGTAAAATTCATTACGTCTCCTATGAAAACAGCCAAGGATGATATACTAGCTTTCACTGGTGGATGCTGCAGAAGTTATCTTCACATACTGGCTGAAAATAGTCTCAAAAGCTTCATCTCTGTGTACCATGGCACCAAACACGAGTGGCTTTTAGGTGGAAGGAAAGAAACCAAAGAAGTTCAATAAAAATAATGATTAAAATGTGAACATTCATACTGCATAAGTTAGATTTAATAGCAGAATCCTACACAGTACTCCAAAGGACGCTCATCTCAGTTTTAGATACATTTAAAATATGTCTGCTAGATATATGCAGAACTCCCCAATTTAGGAACAGGATGTTCCAGAGAACTTTAGAACCTTCCCTTCCCGCAAAAGGCTATGCTGTCCAGGGCTAAGGCTGGCAATTTCTGAAAGCAAATGCTCTGAAATAGAAGTGTTGTGGTCTAGGGTCAAAATAGGCTTCTACTTCAGAGCATTTCCTTCAAGAAACTACTGAACTGACCTTGGAGCAGCACAGTCTGGAGAGCTTTGGCATGGTCTGGAAAAGGAACAGGGCACTCCAGAGTTCTCCTCAATATTAAGTTCCCAAATTGATGAATTTCACACGTACATATATTGTCTACTCTACACTTCAGCTGAAAAGTCTCCTAGGATGGCTAATGGATCAGTAACAAGCCAGCTTTCCCTTCATTCAGACTTAAACTATAAAATTTACAGGTCATAAAAGAAAAAAAAAGGGAGGAAGAGAGAGGAGGAAAGAAAGCTATTCAGGCACTGGTTTTAATTTTTCATTAAATTAAAAATAGTTTATTAATAAAATGATTCATATTTCCCAAATTAAAGAAGTGCTTCAAAAATGGATGGGATCAATATTCCAGAAAAGTAAAATTGACCGCGATGGCAACTAGCATACAAATGAAAAATGCATGCTTCAGATTTGACTTACTTTTTGCGTAGATGGTGTGGATACTGCAATACCCATCCCAGATCCTGGGAGAACAGAGAGTACTTTGTACTAAAAACAAGCATAAGAAAAAAAAACACTGTTTATATGCTGAATACTTTCCCTTGCAACAGAGACATGAAAAAACTAGATCTGACCAGTGCAGAAGTTTAATCAACAATATCCTATCCAGATATCCAGAGCACTAAACAGATGCACTAAAAATAGTGTATTATAACCTAGAATGGCCCAAATTTGAGATAAGCATTTCTGAATGTTGTTTTTGCAGTGGAGGAAAAGAAGCAAGAAGAAGGTGCTAGCTTTGCTCCTTGAGAATCACCGTTCTCTTGCCAAGCAGATGCACTCCACAATTGTTCCACACAGAGGTAAAATCCAACCATTGGATTGTATAAAAGTTTTAAAAAACAGTAACTGAGTATTGATCAGAATAGCCCATGCTATTTGTTCTATGCATAAGTACATCTCACACAACCGTTCTGTTTAAATGGTAGTATCAGGTCACTATTAGCTATGTAGGTACAGGTAGTCCCCAGGTTAAGAACATCCAGGTTACAGACGACCCATAGTTACCAACAGAGCCTATTATAGCAAAATTTGAATTAAATGCACAATGATTTGAGTTAAATACACAAAAATCATGCAATTTTTTAAAACTCCCGTGGCTTGATTATGCAGGTAGTTCCCAGTTTAAGAACGAGTTCCGTTCCCAAGGTCTGTCCTTAAGTCGAATTTGTAGGTAAGCTGGAACAGTATTATTGTATAATACTGTATAACTAGTACTGTGTAATTAACTTGAATCATTGTGTATTTAACTCAAATCATTGTGCATTTAATTCAAATTTTGCTATAATAGGCTCTGTTGGTAACTATGGGTCGTCTGTAACCTGGATGTTCTTAACCTGGGGACTATCTGTACCTACATAGCTAATAGTGACCTGATACTACCATTTAAACAGAACGGTTGTGTGAGATGTACTTATGCATAGAACAAATCCATCAAAATAATTGGACCCAGTTGGTCATTACTAACTTGTCCCACTGGTTCAGTGGGTCAGGATTTATTCTAGATCAAACCCTATATATGATGGAAAACACAAACCACAGAAATTCATTAAGTTTGTCAGGTTCGGCCGGCACGGCGCTCAAGGAAAGCTTGCCACCGCGCTAACTTCGCTACCGGCTGCTAGCCGAGGAAAAGAGGAACTGAAAGCGCAGTTGATTAATGGCCACCTGCGGCTAGCCAAACGAGGAAAATCACAGTGGAAGCTTTAACTTGACACTGATAAGTGGCGCGCACCAACAATGAGTGGAGCCATGGGCAGAGATCAACGCGCAATCCAGAAGCCTCGGGTCTTGCATGTGACGGGAGGAACCCAAGGGAACCAACCCACGCCGGAGGGGACTACCAATCAAGGACAATGGGACCCAGGCCGAGCCTGCCATTCCGGACAATTAAGGGGGATGATTTGGGGGCTGATAAGCCACGGCAGTAACGCGATCGCGGGGCATAAAACACGGGAAAGGGAGAAGTATAAAGGAGCAATGTAAATGTACCAAGCCAGTCCTGGCTTTGCTTGTAACTGTTACGTTACGCATGAGTAAACCTCTTTTGTGAACCACATGTGTCACGGGAGTTTCTCTTGTCGAACAGGGCAAATCTTACAATGTTATGTTACAGAAACAGAAAATAAATCTATTTCTCTCTGGTATTAAAAAAAAATTAGAAACAAGTTTAAAAAATGTGTCATTGTGGGATGTTCCTGATACAAAAAGGTCACTACAATGTAAGCATGAAATTTAGCATTTCTAGAAACCAAGTCATTAATTCATATAATAAAAGGCATTTGGGGGCATGTCAAAGATTCAGCATCTATAAAAATCCTTTGGTGAAAAGGCATTTAGAAAAAAGAGCTATGGTTAGAGAGTAGGACTAGATGATTCTTGTGGTCCCTACAATTCTGTGATTTTATTATTTCCTTATTTAGAAAATGTATATGGTTGCCCATCTTAAACAGATAACTCTGGGCAGCTACCAAACAGTACATAAAAAAACGTGATAATAAAAACCAACATAAAATAATACAGAATGCAATTAACAATATATAACCAGGGCTCCTCAAAACAACTCACAACACAACAAACATATTGGGCTCCATTAATGTCCCACCCTAACATCTGATGAAGGAGCCAGGTTTCACAGCCTTCTGGATCTCAGAGGAAAAGCTGTTCCAAAGGTCAGGTGCTGTTTTGGAAGGTTATAATTTGAGATTTGGATAGCACGGATATTTGTG